GCGTAATAAATTTTTGAATCACAGTGCTGTAGGATGTTCGGTGAGGCAGGCCGTAAAGTTGTAACGGTTCCAGTGTTGAGTAACCTACAATAGGCAACAGATTTTTTAAACATTCTTCTTTCTTTTGGACTGCCACGCAGAGGTTTTATTACCGGATTTAATTCCCGGGCCAGGAGAAATATCTGTATGGCCTACATTTATTTTTGTCGCGGGCTTGGGTGTAAATTGCGGTTGTCTAATATCTAGTGATAAATGATAAATACAACCTACCCCGACTAATTATGCAAGGGAAGATACAGGGAAAGCGACCAACTGGAAGAAGGCGTACTTCATGGCTTAAGAATCTCCGGACATGGTTCAACTAGAGCACAAGATCCTTGTTACGTGCGGCTGTGTCTAAAATACAGATATCCCTAATGATAGCCGACCTTCGGTAGGAGATGGCACCTCAAGAAGAAGAACATCTAGTGACGGGACGAACTCGTGCGCCTGATGGTAAGGTACACGTCTGTCCATAACAATTGCAGTGCCACTAAGGGCACTACCACTGCGCCTGTCACCCTGAGACATAAGTTGACAAATCCCATGTGTCTGTAATTTCACCATTTCGCCATGACACCGCGCGATTTCCCTAGTGCGGGGTTATATATTTATTTATATGCCAAGTGAAGCAATGCTTTTTCTTTATAACGATCTCAAACGTTATGCAGCGGTCATCAGTCGTTCCGAAGGTTATACCAATTGAGCGACAATTGGGTCTTGTTGTCCAATACATCATGATAGGTTGCAACTCTAGATTGGACTCTTGTTGTATTGTGGAGATTTTACTATTAATCAACATATCGACAGTGGAATGGTAAAACTTTTATTTGTTTGGAAAACTACAAAGTTTCGGATTAACTATATAACAAACAAAATTAGAGGTAGGATATTTTTCTTAAAAAGAATATGTTAAATAACTCTCCTGTAATATTTACAAATGTATGTTCGATAATTTATCTTTCCAGGGTCGTATTATTACTAGCAGTAGAGCTCCTTGTGAAAGAGTTCGTCAAGGGAAGTACTGCCACCTTACCTATTTCTGTCGCCTAGCAGTAATGTGAGCATTACTGCGTTCCGGTTTTAAAGGGTAAGGGTGCTGGTAAAATTACAGGCACATGGGACTTGTCAACTTACGTCTCAGGGTGACGGGCGCAGTGGCAGTGCTCCTTAGATCTTTGCGATTTAAAGCTCTGAGCGAACTGCAATTGTTACGGACAGGTGTGTCGCTTAACGCCAGGCGCACCTGTAAATGGTGTGTAAATGTAATGATATGTAAATATACGCAATTGATATTTTAAATAGCACCAAGAAAGTACTCGAAAAACCGAAAAGTTTTGTGAAATTACTCATAGACAGTTTTGCATCACGGAAAAATTTCTATTTTGGAAAAATCATATTTTTCAGGTGAATTAATATTTTTCGGAATATTTTTCCACATTTGACAGTGAAACCTGTTAAAAGTTGAAGATACTCAACTTTATTATGAGAATTTGTGAAAGTAAGCTAAGCAGGATTTAGAAAATTACTTTTAGCAATTGTATAACAATTTTATTGTATAATTCTAGCTAAATAAAACATTAAAAGATTTATTTTTATAGGCTACATTTATGTTTAGACATTTAGATATGTTAACGTACAGAATGATATAAGCGTTCGAATAACATTTTTCCGATTTTTTAGAAATGTTTCCTGAAAAATGTCCGCCATCTGAAATTTTTCGGAAAATAACCCAAGGCTACTCACACATTCGATTGCGATACGAATTTAGATAAAAAACCAACACGCTAAAAATAAAATTCGCGATATTCGGAAAGCGGATAAATAAAAACGCATCAACCGAACTGTTCGGATGAAACGTAATTAGCCCTTGAACTTGCGCTGGCGCACACGAAAATAGATCAAAGAATAATAAACATAGATTGTGTCTTTGCCAACTCTATGCCGCTACCATTGTACTATTTTAATTTTTTCTTTTTCGCTCGACAACGGTGAAGTTGAAACGGGTAATGTGTTTAACATCTTCTAGACATAAAATTAGTAATAATAATAAAATCAGATATAGGAATTGGCCGAGTATTTTTACCTGAACTTCAAGGACGCAATACATGGAGTGTACATACCTTCTTCTGAAACCTCCCAATAGATAGACATACAGAAAAGCGGCACATAAACAACTTAGACTCGCTACCAGCAATCTCTTTCATACAACCTTTGATGCACAGGAAAAATAAACAGCGGGAGACGTAATGTGCCAATGGTAAAATTTTAAATGCATGAATGAAAAGCTACATTATATTATTATCAAATCATAAATAACCGTATTGTATGTAATACCCTTAGAATAATAACGCATAGCATGATAGTTTCATATCAAACGAACTGTCACAAGTGAGGCAAAAATCAAATTCATGTATTGTAGGCTAGTTTTAGTAGTAGGTTAATTTTCGGTTTTAGTGAATATTTATATAAAAATATAAGTTGAAACGCGTTACTTCCTCGTAGAATGTGATGTTAGTATCTATTTTATGTTTGTCTGACGTATTTTTACACTCATTTACCGCACATTTCGTCATTTTTAGCTAAAATTCTTGATCTGTTCGCGGTGCAAGTTGACCTTGAGCACTGAAGGCCCGCCCGCTCGTGTAGGCCCTTTGGGAGCGCTTCAATTTGCCTCACTTAGCGTGTGCGGACTAGGTTTCTATGCGTTATTATTCTAAGGTAATACCTACTTAGGCATCGGTATACGTAATTATACACAAATAACTTACACCATAGTAGAATACAAGAGTAAGTAGTTGTTTATGTGACTGTTACATAATGAAAGGCATGAAAATACGAGTGTGGGTTAAAACATCCCACGAGTGTTTTAATGCCTAATTATGTACAGTTACATACATTGCTTTATATACACACATTATAAGCTCTCTGTGATGTGTTGAGGAACCGCAGGTTACACTGGCGAAATGGCGCCAAATAAAAACTTTTCCCACGCATGTCACACAACCGTAGTTTTTATTTTTAATTCATAGACAAACTAGAATCGGCCCCAATTATCATATCGTTCGATATCAAGTAACGTGTAAAATTGTTTGCTATTGACATTTCATTTCGAATAAAACTTCATCTCGACTGATATTTGAATTGAGGTCCAATCAAATTGTTTTGTTTTTCAGAGATGTTCGGAATTTGAATGTAATCAATGTTATTATTCGATGTTATTAAGAAGCAATAATAACATTTTCACAGATAAGACAAAACAGTTTATCTTTTGAACACTTTATAGAGAGTTTATCATATATGTGTAGACAAAGATATTTATTCGCTGAAAAAATGTAATTAACATTGCAGGTCTTATAGTATATTAGATCGTACATTTCACCAAAACTTGGCATGCGAATATTTTACACAATTCTTATTTCACTTTTGATGTGTCTAAATTAAAATTATTACAATAGCATAAGAAACAAAAAATAACAATTGTAATTTAACCAGAAAATAGGAAGACGAAAATATAACATTCAATAGTTAAGTTTACTTTTTATGTTCTCAACTTATCAAGTAAAAAGTCATCAATATTGTAACAGCAGCATTGAGTAACTAACAAATTATGCAATTTCATTTTAAATTGTCAACAATTTAATTACTTAACAGCATCCGGTAATTCATTAAATAATTTGGGTGCCAATACAATAATCGTTCTACAATCAAATCCCAAATTAGTGCGTCGTTTGGGCCGTATGTCTATTTTATAATTGTGTTTCTAAGATATCAAGTTTTGACAAAATTAAAGTTGCCTAGATTTTGTTTCACATAAACACAGGCCTTGTATGCTTCGATGGTAGGGTTAATATCGTCAGTTTCCTATAGTAAGGTACACAACTTTCTCGCAGACTCACACCAAACATGGCCCTGACACATTTCATCTGGGTTTTAAATAGTGGCCATAATAAGTCTTGCATCAGCGTTTTCCCAGAGCGGTAGTCCTTATCGCAAACTAAAAGCTACATAAGCGTGATAAGCACAAAGAACAGTTTTTTTTGTGATGTTATACGTATTTACTAAGTTTAGTATTTAAATTTTAAATTAATATGTGTCTAAGTATAAGAAGACCGGTATAGTAACTCCATGCAAACATAGCAGCGCGGCTTGTACGCGTGCACGCTCGCCACATGTACCATCGCACGTAGTGATGGGTTTTTACCCGATAAATATCCGTCAAAGGATAAATATCCGATTTCACTGAGTATTTATCCTAAAACATGGATAATTATTGTGTGTTTTTAATATTAAAATTAATTAGAAATATTTTTTTATTAAATAATTACGTACGATTATTTCTCAATTTGCCATTGTTTTATGTAACAATACTGTTTTAGTACCTAAGTTTTTCGAGTCGATAACATCACACTAATGGTAGGAATGTAAACTAATTGCAACATACTCACCTAAACTTTTATCAACATAAAAGTTGGTCGGTATAGAAAATTCGATTGACATAAAGTTATCAAATGAACTGTAACCCTTGAGCTGACCTATCCTGCGTTAATAAAGTGCGACACAACTTTATGGTCTTAGGGTCTACTGCGTACTTAATAAAGACACGTTTGGACTTGAAATAGCCCAAGGATTCTCTTTCACATTTTACACACAAAATCTATTAATTAAAACACATGATATTAAAAATAAATGTTTATAATTGTGTAGGTACACAAAGTTGTTTGATACGAAGTGCGGACACAATTCTCCTTAGCGACTCTCGTTTCTTTTGCACTCATGTAAATTATTCGGTAGCGAATTTAGGCTTTGGCAAAATAGTGGCCAATGATTTTGAATTGAATATCCTTTGTATTAGAACTAATTATCGTTTAAGTATTTCCAATGAAGTCTGTACAGTTTTTTAAAATAAAATATTGAACAACTAAAACCTTATACAGTGGACCCCCGGTAATCCGGCCCCTGTCTAATCCGGCGCCCCCTGTAATACGACATGACAGAATTATGTTTGACAATCTTTGCTAATATAGATCACGCAAGTTTGAACAGGTCACAACTCGTACGCGCCACCGCTATTGTGCTCGACGCGTATGCATTGTTTTACTTAGTTTGAATTTGACTACTAGTGATAGCGGTACGGCCTAGCGTAAGTTCATTGTTTACTACATATTTATTCATTGTGTATTAGGTATATGTAGTATCTAGTAATGTCGTCACAAACCCAGAAGCGAAAGCACAAAACGTTGACAATTAAAGAAAAATGTGATATTTTAGATCGCTTAAATCGCAATGAAACTTTCAGTAGTTTAGCAAGTGAATACGGCGTAGGCCGATCTACAATTTATGACATTAAAAAAAACCACGAGAAGATTAAGAAGTTCGTGTCAACTACTGACTGCGGGCCAGGCAAGAGACAGACACTCAAGAAAGCTGAAAATCCAGAAGTGGAAGAAGCTTTGTACATGTGGTTTCTTCAGGAAAAAAACAGGCATGCACCAATTTCGGGACCCTTGTTGGCGATGAAAGCTAAGTTTTTTTATAAGGAAATAACAAAGAAAGATGATTTTGTGGCCAGCAAAGGATGGCTAGAACGTTTTAAAAGTCGTCATGGCATACGTTTAATGACTATTACAGGAGAGAAACTTTCTAACGATGCCACCTGCATAGAGCCCTTTAAATTAAGATTTTTGCAAAAGGTGAACGATTTAAATCTTGACCCGTCACAGGTGTATAATGCAGACGAATCAGGGCTTTTTTGGCGTGTGATGCCTAACAAAACTTTCGTTTCTTGTCACGAAAAAGACGTACCTGGACGAAAAGTGAGTAAAGAGCGTGTAACCATACTACCATGTGCTAATGCTGCAGGTAATCACGCGCTTAAGATGGTGGTCATTGGGAAATCTAATAAACCAAGGGCATTCAAAAACATTGATTTACCTGTACACTATTACGGACAAAAAAGTGCATGGATGACAAAAGACCTTTTCAAAAAGTGGTTTGATGAATGCTTCGTACCTGAAGTTAGAAAATGGTTAAAAGATCATAATTTTCCTCAAAAAGCGTTGTTGCTTCTTGATAACGCTCCCGGTCATCCGTCTGAAGAAGAACTGACAACTGAGGATAAATGCATCACTGCGATGTTTCTTCCGCCAAATTGCACTGCACTGATTCAACCAATGGACCAGAACATCATTCAGTTTGTTAAGCAAGACTATAAAAAAAACCTACTTTTGAGAGCCGTATCAAAAGACCAACCAATAGAAAAAACTTTAAAAGAATTTAATATGAAAGACTTGGTTTTTGCTCTTAGTCAGTCGTGGAGTGCGTTACCGTCATCAACTATTAAATCGTCTTGGAAAAAGTTATGGCCAGATATAATCACCACTCCTAGCAACGATCCACAAATCAGTGTAACTTCGGAAGTTATAGAACAAGTCTCTACTGAAACACAGATAAGTCCGGAAGATTTGGAAGTCTGGTGCCGTGGAACGGATAAAGAAGAAAATGTTTTTCTTGAAATGTCTGACGAAGATATTATAAAAGAGGTTTCTAATAATACAACAAACGATCAGGAAGATAACGACGACGTGATTGCAACTGCTCCACAAGTCACAGATCAAGACGCAGTTAACGCGTTTGAGCTAGGTTTACAATGGGCTGAAGAGAATGGTACAACCTACAACGAACTTTTACTTTTGAGAAGACTGAGGGACAAAGCTCTGATCTCGCGTTATAACAACCTTAAACAAAAAAAATTGATGAATATTTCAAAGCTTCATAATTTGATATAGTATTCACTACATGATTTTGATTAATAATTCTTGATTATTTTGGTAGATATGTGTATGTGCATTTATGCTTAATTTTATAATAATAATAATAATAATAATAACGCACACACTCAACATAGCCCCGCACTATAAAACGTAAGCTCTCAATTGTTATTTAATTTACTAAATTCGACTTACATAAATTAAGTCTGATTTGTACTTCAAAGTATGTACATACATATGTACGTATAATATATAGACTCTCGTCATTAGATATGTAATTTGTCGGATTACAAGGTACTCTTTCGTAAAAAAATCCGGACTATAGGGGTCTTAGGCAGTGCTCTATAATCCGACAAATTCGATAGTCCGACACTGCCCTGCATAATGTTTGCCGGATTACCGGGGGTCCACTGTATTCTATATACGAAGCTGAACAAATGTACAATAACGGTCCAACTTAGTAACTACAACAAAAATTCGGTACTAAATGTCAGACAGCTGATTAATATTGTGTGGTGACAATTTTTTTTTTTAAATAATAAGGTTCACGTAAAAATACTGGGATTTACGGTACTTAAAAGTATTCTTTTTATTACTGCATTTAGAAAAAAAGTTTTAACAAGCAATATACTATACGCACATGCTACTAAATTGTATCAATGTTTACAATTAAGCCTAAAAATATACTTTGTTTTACTAAATATAAATGATAAACCACGATTTAAAATATTATAAAATATCGAGTAAAAATGGATATTTATCCTGAGTAGTTATCCCAATGATATTTATCCATGACCCATCCGCACACATACGCATAATCTCGCTGTGCACTCGCGTTGCATACCGCGGGTTGTCACACGCGCTGTTAATTATAGAATTGAAGCGGTTGCTAGTTGTTTAATAATCTCAGTACAGAGTACTAAAAAACCGACCTCAAAAGTACGTGGAATTACGTCTATTTGCCAAGTTTTTTTGAAATCGGTTACCGGAAAGTGCGCAAACCCGGATTCATCCCAGAATATCAAAATCAACCATTAAAATAATTGCTCCTTATAATAAGATTTAGGCGCTATTTATAAAAATGTCTCTTTATGTGTGAACAGCCACTCTTAGAGGTGGATGATTTTCTTCAAAATTAAAGGGGACCGCTATGGAGGTACCCTCTTTCCAACAAAAAAAGAATCATGAAAATCGGGTCACAAATACCGGAGTTATCGCGTAACGTACATACAAAAAAAAACATACAGTCGAATTGAGAACCTCCTCCTTTTTCTGAAGTCGGTTAAAAATGACATCAACGCGTAAATGCCACACTTCCCTCGAAGCATAGGGTTGTTACACATTATTATTATAATTGTACTGTAGGTTGTAAACATAATTTGAAAATTTAAGGATTTCAACACAGTATTCTCGTTGTATATTGAAATAACCTTTGTTTAACGCAATAGGTACTTACATATTGATATTTTTATATCAGGATCGCAGATTGATATATTGATTATGTAGTTTGATTATGAAATTGAAATCCTGACCATTTTGAGGCGTTTTGTTCAAGCTACCACAAACACAACAATAAACACGTCTACTAAATATAAACTGCTACTCAAAGAATATCTACTTATAAATAAAATAACCAATAAATACGCTACATACCGAATACCAGATTACATGGGTACACAAACATATTTACCATCCTGGTATGATATGAACACACTGAAAAAAGTCTGACAATATTTTTTCTTCAAAAAGGTTAAGTAACTATGAAACAGCAACGTTCGTAACGTCCATTGGAATTCTTTAAATAACTAGATTATATTGTCAGGAACTTTAGACAACATTGCTCAGTTGCTGTGAAGTGTTTACATAACATGATAATTAAGCGTAACAATGTAATGGGGCATACTTACAAAATAAAAAAACTATAATCTTACTAGAAACACCTCTGGATCAGATTTAGGAGTTATGCATTGTAATAAGCTATTGTTTGATCAACATATTTCTTATATGTATACGTTAAAGTATACAAAGCTCTAGATTCATCATTCGTACCTCAGAAAGGTTTAAAAATATGAAAACCCTGAAAATTCTTTATTGCACCACCACCGTAGCCATCTTCGCAAATTTGGAATCCCTACAATGATACTTACTACAGCATTGAAAAAATACAGAAGAAATTTACTAGATTTTTAAGTTACAAATTTAAACTGCCCCATTTGGATTACATATACCGTTGTGAAAAATTTCGTCTATAACAATGTTTACTTAATATATCGTCAATTCGAAACTGCTTTGAGCTTTGACGCGAGTTTGCCGGAGGTAGAAATTGGGCTGGCCAGTGATCCCATAAGTGACGATCGTATTAGGCTTCATTTTTTAAAATTTCGACTTTCGAACAACAAATTGTTGCCGAGTTGTGTCAAAAAATTGTACATCCATAAATTTTCTGCAGTAGTGATGAAGAGACTCAGTCTTTTAAGGCGTTTTATAACGACTCGCCTCCATTTTACAGGACTCGACTTTAAAATTAAGACTGGGGATTCGAGTTTTTATTAACAAGACTCAGTCGTTATACTAAAAGACGTAAACGACTTGAAAGTTGAAAGACTTAAACGACTCGAGTTGTTTGCAAAGGACTTATACCTATTTTATGTCTTATCAAACCCGAAGTTTATAAATAAAAATGACGTAAGTAGTATGTAGTAAATAATCACGTTTATTTACTTATAATAAAAATCGTAAAATAAATACCTTGTGGGTAGAAATAAAATTACGCCATACGGCTCATGACTCGCGACTCCCGAGGCTATAAGGCGCCAGTCGTTTTAGTCCTATAAGTCTTTCAAGCTTCCTACTTCGACTCGAATTAGTCTTCAGTTTTAGTATTGTGACTCAAAACTTGAGGGTAAATAGACTAGACTAGTCGTGAGGCGTTAAAAATTAGTCGAGGTTTTTTAAAAGGCCTTAAAAGACCGAGTCTCTTTTATCCACTATCTGCACGTCACTATTGACAATAATGTACAGCAATTAGCGCCTTCAACGTAGAAATTATGACAGCGTGCAGGTACTTATAGCCTATATAATCCATCCTATGTATACCAGCATGTCGTCTTAGCTTTACAGCGGTGCTAAATCAGTATGTTGGTGTTAAAATTTAATTTGGTCTTGTTTTTATTGCGTAGTAAATGTTCAAATAGATCTCTTTGTTTAGGACTATTTTAATGCCTGTTTGATTTTCGGATGTTGAAATATAACAATGATGTCATAGTATGTATTTGCTAGTATTTACTCGCAAATAGTGGTAAGGTTGTATGTTTCTTTTTTATAATAATAATAATTTATTCAGTTGCAGTGCAATTCCGAACTTCAAATCGCAAAGATCTGAGACCACTGCCACCTGTCACCCTGAGACATACGTTGACAAGTCCCATGTGCTTATAATTTCCCCTTTGGTGCAACTGGTCTACTTTCCCGATCGGTCCACTTGTTTTTCCCATTTCGTCTACTTTCCTGTTTGGTCTACTTTCCCATTACGTCTACTATACTGTTTGGTCTACTTACGCCTCTTACTCTTCAAAACAGGAACGCAGTAATGCTCACAAGGTGGCAGTTTTTCCCTGAACGAACTCTTTCTTTCACAAAGAGCTAAACATTTTCGAAACGTTAAAATGCGTTCCAGGAAGCCTGAATTATTTACATCAAAGTACCTTGACACCCTTTACACTTCCGTCTTATATTGAATGGTATGCCACTTTGGATAAGACAATCCAAAATCAAAAGTGTAATTGTGCTGGGTGTACCCAACATTCGACGTCCCTCAAAACCACCTTCAGTTATATGAAATCAGATTTGGCTTAGCCTTAAGCTATTTAGTCTAAAATAAATTATGACCGGTAGCATACATAGAGCAATTACATGGAAGACTGTCATTAGAATTCTTCTGTTTTAGTTAAAAGCGTAACTGCCCTTCGTTTTTGAAACAATAACGGCTATCATAACGACAATGATCGGTTTTTGTTATTGTAATACTATAATTAATATAATCACGTGTTAAGATCATTGTCTTTAAACACAAGACCTGTTATTCTACAACAAATAGCGTTTTGCTGTAACATCTTGACGCCGTTTTTAGAAAATAACGATATAATTGGTTATTGAAAAAGAAAAAATCGTGGCAACCTAATGCCTCTCAAGCAGAGGCAGTGGGCTGGAATCCGGACTCGCACTTCAGAGTTTCGGATTTATGATGCTGGACTACCACGCAGGTTTGATAATTTGTGGTTGCGTACATAATATATGTGTGTGTCCATGGCACACGGGATAAATGGTTTCCCTAGTGCGGGGCTGTGAGTGTGTGCGTTATTATTATTTACAGTTAGTTTATGTGTATCTAAGACTGGTTACACACGGCAATTTTCAGCAGCGATGTAAACCCGCGTTCGCGAAACGCGCAATTGCATCGCTACACTTGCGATTTATAGGCGATTGCATCGATGCAACCGTGCGACATATTCGCTTATAAATCACAAGTGTAGCGATGTAAGGTTTAAAATAGCGCGCGTTTTTTTCTTTTAATACACTATTGTACCAACTATGTATAGTATGTTTTATAGGCTCGGTAAGCAGGATTTGGTTGGTACCTTTCACGTACGTAATTAAACAATGTAGCCTAGTTCCATGACATAAATCCAGGTTAACATATGTACTGCCCTGCTTTTTGGTGAATGAAAACATCGTGATGAAACCTGTACATCGAAGAAGCTTCACAACCCTCGGAATACGTGTGAAGTCCCCAAATCGCATTGGGCCAGTGAGGAGAGGAGATACGTGCCCAGCAGTGGGATTTACGCTTTTCTCTATTCCACTTTGGTAGATAACAGGCCATAGAAACACGGTGTGATGTGTAAAACGACATGAAAGCTGTTTAGGTATTTGTTATCCACGATTTTTATTCGCAATAGAGCGTCTTGCGAAATAGTTTGTCCAGGGAAGGGTTGTCATTTTATCTATTTCTGACTAAA